CGACTGTCTTCAGAAAAGTTTCGATGGCATTTTTATTTATCTGTTCATTAGCGGAGCTGCTTTGATTGCAGCCGTTACCGGGGAAACCGGTGTTTCTGCCGCTCTCAGCGCCTCCTGCTGGCAGAGAATCAGTTTGCATTTTCAATAATAAGCCCATCTCCAGCAACGTTTTTGTTGTTGCTCAATTTTTTTGTTTTCTGCAGCACTTTTCATACTCTTTATCCTGGCTGAAGCACATTTGTTTCAGTCTATAAGAATAATCAGCCTACACTACCAGTCAAAGGTTTTTTAACAGTAAGATTTGTATTGTTTTTTTAAAGAATTCTCTTCTGCTCACCAAACCTGCATTTATTTGATCCCAAGTACAGCAAAAACAGTAAAATTTGGAAATATTTTTACTATTTAAAATAACTGCTTTCTATTTGAATATATTTTAAAATGTAATTTATTACTTTAACCAAAGCTGAATTTTCAGCATTATTACTCCAGTCTTCAGTGTCACATGATCCTTCAGAAATCATTCTAATATGCTGATTTGCTGATTATCAATATTTAAAACAGTTGAGTAATGCTTTGAAAATTGATCAAAAGACATTTATAATGTTACAAAAGATTTACACATTATGATTTAACATAATAATTTATGTTTTTGAGCAGCAAATCAGAATATTAGAATGATTTCTGAAGGATCAGGTAACGTTTGTGGTCAGTACAATAAAAAAAAAAGAAGAAATTAATACTTTTGTTAGGCAAGGATGCGTTCAGTTTTTCAAAAGTGATTTGCTTTGTTGCATAAACACTGTATTTTAAAAAATGCTGTTCTTTAAATCCTGAAATAAATGTACCACCAGCTGTTTTAACACTGATAATAATAATAGAAATCTTTCTTGAGCAGCAAATCAGCATATTAGAATGATTTCTGAAGGACCATGTGACACAGTAATGATGCTGAAAATTCAGCTTTGCATCACAGGAATAAATTACATTATAAAACATATTCAAATATGTATTACAGTGTTTTTACTGTTTTTGCTGTATTTTGGATCAAATAAATGCAGGCTTAGTGAGCAGAAGAGAATTCTTTAAAATACATAAAAAATCTTACTGTTCAAAAACATTTCACTGCTATGTTAGCCTATAGTTTGAAGTTAAAGATATTAATAATAAATAAGGTGAGTCTGAGCTATTTGACAGTGATTTCACATTTCTTGTTTGTATGAAGGCTAAATACAAATAAAAGGTTAACATTAATTTATTTGTGCTTTTTTTCTAAAAAATTAAATAGTTTTATAGGAAGAGGTTTCATAGACTTGGCAAATAAATTTTTCATAAGTTTGTAGGTACAGACATCTGTTGTGGGTGTTATTGGCAGTATTTATGAGGCTTTTTTTAATAGTGTTCATATCGATATTGGAATTATATTGTATCCACCAAAATTAAGAAATATATTGTGATATAAATTTTGGATATATCGTCCAGCCCTACCTCCGGTAAAAACGGATAGACTTTGTTCTTAATATCCTCCTCCTTTGTTTTCTCTAACAGATGTCTGTTGTACGTACGCTGCAGCTACTCAAACATTGAACAAAATAAAACTTTCCAAATTTTTTCATAATTTTCCTTCATTTAAGTAGTGTGAGAGCTCAACAACGCTCTAAATGTGTTGGCATAGCAACGTGATACTTCCTACAGAGGATGAGACCTCCAGAGGGTGCAGCCTTCTAAATGAGACACAGCTTGTATTGTTGTTGTTTTTAGCGTTGGCATAACAATGCAACGGCATTGCCATAGAAACCAACACACATTCCATAAAACGAAAGAGTGCTTATGGACACACAAATCGGATGTGAACAGTTGCAATACACTGTGTGGACAGTTAGTTCTTCAAATCAGATTATATGCAGATAGACACAAAAATGGGTTTTGGGCTGACAGTCTGAACGAGGCTTAAATGGCTAACCTGTCATTGGAAGACTAGTTGAATTGTCAACCATAGAGACCCATTCCTAGCTAGAATCTTTTCACATTCAAATAGGACATTTTTATTCTGTCCTCCATTTTTGGCCTACTCTGTAGTTTGAAAGACATGAAAAATGAAACAGGTAATACTGGCACTACAGAAAACAGGGCTTTACTAATATATTTTCTCAATCTGACAATAACGAATGACTAAATATTGCCCAGGGTGGCTGGTGTAATTGTCTGTTGTCAGTATGCCAGACATAATTACGGCCGGCTCTCACTTTGAGACAAGGGTCTTTTCCCCCGCTCTCTCTGTCCCTTATCTCGCTTTCTCTCTCTGCTCCTAACCTACCAAGGTGTCCGTGTGTCCTTGTGGCTCCTTACTCCAGCGAGTGTCTCTGTCACGATCCCTGTCATGAAACATACATCATCCCCTCTCCCCTTCCTCCCTCATTTTACTGGCTGCAACTGGCATTATCGCCTCTCCCTCTGTGTCTCTTCCCTCATCTCTTTGTGAACACGTGCATGCATGAGCTGCTTGTGTTATCCTGTCACTGACCTTGTTTTGTTTGCGAACCATAAAAACAACAAAAATGCAAATGAGAGATTGAGTTTTGAATGCAGGTGGTGAAACACTAGGGATGTACAAAACTACACACTGTCAGAATCAACGAGTCTGTAAGTTACCTGAATGACTGGATGACTAATTGGTCTAGATTAAAAAGAACCTTTTTTTGTATTTCTTTGACAGTGTTTACATAAAACACATTCCTGCATTCCAAAAGAGCTGAACTAAGCACAACAGAATGGAACAGCAAGAAGGATTCTCGAGACGCAAAACAACAGCCAAAAATATCTGTCTTGAAGATCTTAGATGCTTTACTTAGCATGGTGTTTAGATGAGAATAACATATAATAATCTAGATAAAGAGAAAATAGACTACATATTTAAAATATTCAATATTATATATTTTGTAGACAAAAAGAGATAAACTATGCAACATACCCTAGTGAAAAATAAATATACTACAATATATTTAAAGATACTAAACTAGTATACTTACTGTAAAGTCTGTTAAATTAGTTAACTTATTTTGTGCTTAATGTACTTTAATTGTGCAGAAGTAGTGCTGAAGTCCAAATAAAGATCAACTGAATTATATTTAATTGTGCTAAAGTTGAACTATTGCAAGTATACTTCATGTACACTTTAAATATCTAGCATTTAAAGACATGTTTATTAAAGATCATACAATCCTCATCAACAGTGACATTAAAACACATTTAGGCTTAATATTCAGAAATGTGCATTGTGTACAAGTAGTACTCCAAATAAAGTTTAAATATAACTTGTATATCAGTCTCGAGCGATACATCAATAAATGTTAATAGATTTGAACTAAGTATGAAATAAGAGCATTTTCAATATATTACTTTTTTACTAGGGTATTCATGTCTAGATATAATTATTACACATTTTCTAAATATCTAGATAAACTAGTCAACATATATCTAGATAAAATATTATACAATTTCTAGATAAATTATATATTATAATGATACATTTAGAAATATATAGAAAATAATGTATATTTTAGATCATATACAGTATATATTGGACAAAATATTTAACATATATTTAATATATATATTTAACAAAATAAATAAATAAATCTTGATAACCCAGTCAAGTGTTATTATTATTAGCAAGTGAAAAAAGCATACATTATTTAAAAATCTATATAAACTAATCAACATATATGTCTAGATAAAAATATTATATATTATCTAGATGAAAAAGTCAGCTTCACTAATCGACTAGTCAGTTGTTGGATGACTAGTCAGCCATTGTGACCATCCCTAGGTAACATATCAGACACAGATTTTCTAAACAACAAAGACTCACAACGAAACAGTAAAATATTGTATGTGTGCACGTACAACAACACTGCAGTCTATGTTACCTCTTGTTAATGACCAGAACCAGTATGCATTTGATGGCAAATTGTATTTCATGGATGCTTGGGCATGAAAGAGAAATCTTGTTTTGCAGATCCATAAAAATAGTTCATTAAAAACATGCATTTCTCTAGCATGTGCAGTCTCAGAAACAGCTCTTAAATTATGGCCAACTCCCGAGAGACCGAGCGTGAGAGAAAGAGAGAAAGAAGGAGAGCCAAAGACAGGCAACCACTCGTCGAGCTAATAATGTTTGCGGCCATGACTTCAGCACCAATGCAAGCATTTGCCACCCATTTAATTTCAGGGGATAAAGTGAAAGCTCATATCATTTATCAAGAATTCAACAAAGAGTCTTGCGGAAATGTCAACCATGGCGACAGTAAGTGATATTTAAAGGTGGCGGTTCTTCTGGCAGACAATAAAAACTAAAGGGGAAACGAGAGAGGTATTCTTGTGCGTGACTTCTATTATTTATCATCTGTTGCTGTTCACCACTGTATCGTCGCCACAAAACCACAAATTATGAACTGCAGGAACACAGTTGCCAGATAATATGTTCAATTATCCCAACGGCGGTAAGTACAGAAACGTGAATGCACTAGTTGGAAATTATACAGTCTTGAGTTGAGAGTGCCGTCCAACCAAGCAACATGAAAAACACCAGAACTTCCCTCTTGCCTAAAAAAAGCATCAAAAGCACATCAGAATGGTGTCAAGCCGAATAGCCACCGAAGTCCAAACCTCTTACCTGCTTGGCTGGTTGCGATGCTGATGGCCGCAAACAGTCGCTGGGTACGGCTGAGGTCAGACACGCCGTTCACGGCCTCGACCTCAAAGGTGTAGTTTGCGTGCGCTAACAGGTCGGTGATGATGACGTAGGTGTCCGTTAATCCACTCTGCTGTGGCGCGTAGCCAACATTGCTCCCGCAAGGAAAGCACTCTTCCGGCTCCCAGGTACAGCGGCGGCATATAATCCGGTACGTCACGTCGTTACGGCCGCCCGTGTCAGCCGGTGGGGTCCACTCTAGGCTGACGGTGGTGTGGTTGATGTTGTAAAGCAGGTTCTGAGGAGCTGATGGTGGCCCTGTAGTAAGAAAAGAGGGGGATGCTTAGATAAACATGTGACATATTTAACAGCACTCGAGACAAAAACACCATGGAAATATGAAAAATCTGGGCCCTTGGCAAATCCTGACATGCAGTTATACCGTAACCTAGATACATAGAGATGTAATGCTGAAGAATGCTGGGGAGTTGAACTTGAGTGCTACCAAGGTCGATGTAGACCAGGGATGTAGCAAAACAATGAAATTATGAAAAACGAGATACTGTTTTAAGGTAGAAAACCTTGAGATAAGACCGCCTTGGTACTCATCTACTCGATAGCATTTCATTACTGAGCCAGGGAGTTATGAGTTTCCCGTGGAAAGAAAAGAGGTGATACAATTGGCAAAACACTTTTTTTTTGACTGCCAGGGTGACAGGGAGTCTAAGCCATGGAGTCACTTCCAGAATTTAAGAGTCAGATCATGAGCAAGTTGTCGCCCCGACAATAGCAACAGTGCAGGATTCAGCTCAGCCTACAATAACCAGCTCACAGACAGATGACCACAGTGGAAAACAACCTATCATCCCCTAATCCCCGCCAGTGCCAAGGAATCTGGCGCGTCTCATAAAGCAATGATTTATACTTTGCTACTTTTATCCAACCACCAAGCCCTTGCTTTTATCACCCTGATGTTTTTATAATGGCACCGCTGTCTGTTCAATATCTCTTTTATTAGAACTCGTCTTTGTGATGGTCTTGCATCATGGGTTTGCCGTTTTGGAGAGGTTCGATTTTTGTACCTCAAAGTGAAATAGCGACCCGTACATGTCCACTGGTGTGGAGCTGAATAGGCGTTTTCAATCTGTTCTCTAGTGGAGCTGAGCTCACGAGAGGGATTGTGGGATTGACAACAGAGCACCTGGTGAGCATTTAAAAAAAAAAAAATGTTAGCAAGAGGTGAAAATGTCCACCAATGACGTCTCTCATAGGAATTCAAAATCTGCAGATAATTTTTATTGGTTTTTGTCTTTTTGTAGTTAACAGATTATTTATAAAAACAACTGTCCACAAAAAAATGGCAAAAGTAATCTAAATGTAAAAGTAGTGTAACTGAGTATGAAATATCATCCGATACAGGTAAATGAAATACCGTGGGCCAGCGTAATTCCAAAACAGCGCCGATGGGTGTGGAAATTTCAGCGATTGATTTACTAACAATTGCGCAAATTAAAGAACACAGACGCAATGCACCGCTGTCTGTTCAATATCTCTTTTATTAGAACTCGTCTTTGTGATGGTCTTGCATCATGGGTTTGCCGTTTTGGAGAGGTTCGATTTTTGTACCTCAAAGTGAAATAGCGACCCGTACATGTCCACTGGTGTGGAGCTGAATAGGCGTTTTCAATCTGTTCTCTAGTGGAGCTGAGCTCACGAGAGGGATTGTGGGATTGACAACAGAGCACCTGGTGAGCATTTAAAAAAAAAAATGTTAGCAAGAGGTGAAAATGTCCACCAATGACGTATCTCATAGGAATTCAAAATCTGCAGATAATTTTTATTGGTTTTTGTCTTTTTGTAGTTAACAGATTATTTATAAAAACAACTGTCCACAAAAAAAATGGCAAAAGTAATCTAAATGTAAAAGTAGTGTAACTGAGTATGAAATATCATCCGATACAGGTAAATGAAATACCGTGGGCCAGCGTAATTCCAAAACAGCGCCGATGGGTGTGGAAATTTCAGCGATTGATTTACGAACAATTGCGCAAATTAAAGAACACAGACGCAATATCTAATTTACATATCGACCAACGTAATATACCAAGCGCAGCGCAAATTAGCGTAGTCGCAAATAAAGAATAAAGAAATAAAGAAGCCACAGTATGTTGAAACGAACTGGAGGCCAAAATATGAAGGGTTGCAAGAAGTTTTGATAGACCTGGTATTGCGTGACTCCTAGTTGAGGGTTCCAAGTTGTCTTTTATTTCCTGAAGCAAATTAATAATAAAATGGCTTGGCAAAAGATACAGTGGGTACGGAAAGTATTCAGACCCCCTTACATTTTTCACTCTTTGTTATATTGCAGCCATTTGCTAAAATCATTTAAGTTATTTTTTTTTCCTCATTAATGTACAGAAGCCACAGTATGTTGAAACGAACTGGAGGCCAAAATATGAAGGGTTGCAAGAAGTTTTGATAGACCTGGTATTGCGTGACTCCTAGTTGAGGGTTCCAAGTTGTCTTTTATTTCCTGAAGCAAATTAATAATAAGATGGCTTGGCAAAAGATATGTTCGCATAATGTGTTCTTCTTGCATTACAAATAAATTAATACGTGTGGAAAAAATCCTCTCCCTTCTACCACGCGCTGTCTGTTCTCTGGGGTGCCTTCTCCTAGCAACAATAATTGCAGCCATTTCAAGTGCAAAATAGTTTAAGACAAGTTTTTTTGGACGTTAAATAATGGCGCAAATACCAGTAATTTGACGAGAGCAGACGTTAGTAAATCGCATTGCGTGATTTATTTTAATACTCTCCTCCCATAACTTTTGCGTCTGAAAGGGAAACTCCTACAAATGCATATTCAATAAGGTCAGGCGCAAAAATAACTATGTCCACGCTTTTTCAGCGCTAATTCGTCCTGACAGTACTATTTTAATGCCAAAAGATAGTTTGCGCCGGCACAAGCTGTTAGTAAACCTGGCCCTATATCTCTAATAAGAACTGATAAACGATATGGTACCGGTATATTTTGCATATACTGTCTATATTGTGTAGTATACTTTGGGCATTCTGAAATAAAGTTTGCATTTTTACCTAAGTGATGTCGAGGTCATTTTGTCACTACAAAACGCAAAGTCGTGTGTCGCCAGTACCGCCTGTCTGGGGACAAACTGGGGACATTTACTAACAAAACACTCAATGCATATGAATGAGGGGAAAGAGCAAGCATTAGAATTGTGTGAATGGTTAATATGACACTTAAAGTTTGCTCCTCATTAAAGCTAATGGCACACACATCCATCCATATTCATCAAAGTAGGAGGGGAACGAGTGAACGGAGAAGATGAAAGGGCCACCTGTGGCAGGTGAAGAGATGTGGTCCATCTCTCCATCTCTCTCTTCTCTGTATCTAGCTCTCAAGCTCCAACCACAACTTCACCTACTGATGCTAATGATGTCCCTCCTACTCCATTCCCCTCGGGGAGAGCCGCAACACACACACACACACACTCATCCTCCTGAGACTTTAGCATTCTATTTCTATGGTTACCTATAAGAATAAGAATAATAACACTAATGGCTCCATTTGGCAGGGCCTTCTCATTCCGCTCTTGAGTGGCAGAGATCAAGGGATTGTTTATCTTTAAATGGACAGCTGAGACAGGAAGGGACTCAAGTCAAGCTGTGATTGAGCATATCTATTCAAGCGACAAGGTAGCACTGAGATGAATCACTACTGGAAAGTTCCTATCGATTTAATTCTCGCAAAATGTTAAATAAAAGCACTGTAATCTAATAACAATCCATGATGCTGTTCAAATTTCATGATTTGAGGCTTTGTACGAAACTGCCCGGTTCGTTAATCACTTAATGCACAATGTTTTTGTATGAAGGTATGGTGGTTTCAAATGGCTGACAAGGCACCACGCCTGATCTAGATGTAGAACAAATTCATGTTTTAGACATATCCAAGCAAATATTTAAAGGGATAGTTCACCCAAAAATTATCCAAGCAAATGTTTAAAGGGATAGTTCACCCAAAAATTTTTATTCTACAATGTTTTTGTATGAAGGTATGGTGGTTTCAAATGGCTGACAAGGCACCACGCCTGATCTAGATGTAGAACAAATTCATGTTTTAGACATATCCAAGCAAATATTTAAAGGGATAGTTCACCCAAAATTTATCCAAGCAAATATTTAAAGGGATAGTTCACCCAAAAATTGTTATTCTGTCATTAATTACTCACCTTCATGTTGTTCCAAACACGTAAGACCTTTGTTCATCTTCAGAACATAAATTAAGATATTTTTGATGAAATCTGAGGGCTTTCTGACCCTGCATATAGACAGCAATGCAACTGCCACATTCAAGGCCCAGAAAGGTAGTAAGGACATCATTAAAATAGTCCATATGACATCAATAGTTCAACCTTAATTTTATGAAACTGCGAGAATACTTTCGTGCACAAAGAAAACAAAAAGAACAACTTTATTCAACAATTTCTTCTCTTCCGTGATGCACGTTCACGACAGTACCATGATGCAAGGTTGAACCACTGATGTCACATGGAAATAATCTTAATTTTGTGTTCCAAAGATGAACAAAGGTCTTACAGGTTTGGAACGACATGATTTTCATTTGCATATGGCAAACGCATAATGAACTTTTTTTATTATTATTATAATTAAAATAGTATAATTTTTCTCTTTGTATACATTGAATCACAATCGAACATTTGGCATTTATGAAAATATATTCTTCTCATTTTTCTCATTAAAGTACAGGGTGAAAACAACAAGTATAGAATGAAAAAGACTAAAGACTTTCCTGCCGAGTGTACATCTGGCATCTGGAGAGTCCTGCAGTCGTTTTTTTATTTTTTTTATCCACTGTTGAGAGCGTCATCGTCTGCTGGTTAACAACAAAATGCCCTCCGAGTTTACTGCTCTCATTTGCTCTTTCACACACGAGTGCATATGTGTTTCTATATATGTAATCTGTCATCTCCTCTGCAGTCTGCTTTGAGACTGATTCTGCAGGGACGCTGCAGTATGTCTGGGGGAAACTGGGACAAATATCTGCCACAGACAGCTTGATTCTCTACACCACAAACCAAACTATTCTTTAAATGGGTATGAAGCTTGCTTAAAGCCTGTGTGCACTCTTTCACACTCGTTAATTTTGCTTTCCCCTTGAACCTTCTTTTAAAATAAGTTTAACCCACACTTTATAGATTGTATAGCCTCAAACCGCCCACAGTCTGTTCACGGAGTATCTGATGAAGATTACACACAAAACTGATAACTTCT